CGTTACATTATGTTTTGGAACATTTTATGAAACGGATGTTAAATTGTTCACTTTGAATTGGAATAATGCATAATGTCTTTTTTAAGTGATATAATTTGGTTTTTATTCCATTTCTGCAAAATATTATCCCATCGAGGTGCTATAAAATCGATAAAAGTTTAGTCACCGGCGTTATAAGGAAGGAAAGTAGATGTGGGGCGTTCTTTACGGTAAATGTGATATGCACACTTCGCAGGCATTCGAGAACGTTACGTGATCTTTCTAGAAACTTTCCGTTTTCTATATAAACAGATTGAACAGAAGTTACACGATCGGTGCCGAAGTGAGACCTCGACTCTTTATCAAGTTAGAAATTTTTCTTCCGCATAATTTGTCGGGAAAAATCGCAAAAAATTAAATAAATGCTCTCATAATAACATTCAAATTGAAGAATACGAGAATTGAGAAGATACGGGGGTAGTAATAACAGTACAAATTAATTTAGTTACCAAAAGAAATACTGGATTATTTATTCCATTCTCGCATCCAAAATCAAAAGAAAACCTCCCAAACCGCAGTTGCCGAAACCTAAAGAAAAGGTACACTTCAATTACGGAACTTGCAAATGGCGTACTTACGATAAAGAAGTAAAAAAACGCAATTATATCCTCCTCGCGTAGGAGTCGTAGGTGAATCCGTCCACTACCTCGAAATCCCCAATTAAATGGATTCAATTGTCAGAGGTTAATAAAATGTGGATGGCGGCGATTAAAATTGCATGCGTTCTCAAGTAACGCTTCACCTGTTTCATTAAAATGAAGTGCACTCTGTTACAGCTCACAGAAGAAAGAGGAAGAAAAAGCACGGCGTCGGTAAAAGGCGCGATAAAATTGCGTTGTTGAAATTCCAGCAATAGATTGAGTCAAGGTGTTTATTTCTTGCCATATTTGCCATATTTTTTGTTTAATTGAAGTTTAGATGGGGCTACGGTAGAAAGAAACGTGGAAACTATATATGGTTTACATTATCGGAATTCGAAGTTTTTTTTTGTTTTGTTTTGCAAGGAGATGCGTATACAATGATAGTTTATGGATAGTTAAATACTATGAATGCTATGTTTTTCTGTGTCCCCTGTAATTACCGATAAGCAAAACAAGGAAGTACACTTGCTACCCTCATCCATCAATTTAATGAATTTCGAACAGATTCAAAAGATCGACATTAATTTACGTTAAAGCTGTAAACAATCTACCAAGAAGCGTAATAATTAGCATCGTTTCTGCTTCCCCCATACTTCTCCTGTTCTCGTCTATCGCCGTCAATAACGCTTGTTAACAATCATTTCAAAAGTCCATTACTTTAATGTACGGCTCTCGATTTTTTTTTTAGATTTTGTTTAGAATTTCCTGTCTTATTAACTGACTTTAAGAGTGACTACTATAATGTTGCGTTTTACGTGATTAATGATGGCTCGTATTATTTCACTTCTATTGTTTAAAGCTCTTAGCATACAAGAGGTTGAGGCAAATAAGGTTTTCATTGTGTTTTTTGCTACTAATTTACCCGCAGTCTATTCATGCGAAATTTTCCCGCTTCTGGTAACTCCCCCTGTAATTGTGAAAACCGCCCCTTTTCACAAGACACACTTTTCACCTTGTTTTACTCTTCACTAAATAAATCTCGCCTGTGCACTGTCAGTTTCCGAATCTCGTTTCATTTCTAAATGGATTTTTGCTACATTATTAAGGGAGCACTTTCCACCCCTTAAGGTAAATGAGTAGAAACTGCGTTTTATAAATGGCATCATCACCGGTGTATAACTAGAAAGAGCATTCTTACTGTAAATCAGGTTAATAAAGTCTCGAATATTCTCACATCCCTTTACAGTCAAATAGTGTAACGAACTGGAAAAAAACACAAGAGCTATTTTGTATGCGTATAGTTTTTTCGCCTACGCATAAAATCAATACCGATGGTACAACCACTTCTCAAATTGGTATTCCGAATATAAAATTCGGAATCTTAAACGTTTTCCCTGAGGGTTACAAGGGGAAGCACTTGCGCTGTTTGCATGAAAACCCAACCGTATCGCTTAACACGAATAAAAAAAGGAACATTTTTGGTATTAATGTCCTTTTAATCAGTGCAAATATGTTAGAATTTGTTATTCGTGCGTAAAAGACATCACCAACGGTTCTCTTAACATAAAGATTTATTGCGGTTGATGATATGGGGGTGCGTGTGAGTTTCAATCAAATGTAATCGTAACGAAAATTATGTAGCAAAAGACTTTTGTGTGTAACATTTACGTTTCCGCTTTTTGTCCGTACGCTTTTATCTTTCATTGCGTCAGACACAAAACGTTATTATTATATAATAGGTTATGAGATTACAAAATTCTGTTATGATGGCGCCCATATATCTTTGTGTTGCTTTGTTGGATGGGAGAAGCTAGCGCAGTCAAATCGTATGGAAACGAACAGTAAATTTATTTAAAGCCCTGAACAGGGTGGAATATGTCAGTATATACCGAAATTAGTTGGTGGAGAGATCCGAGACAACCATTTTTACAAGCAGACGAATATTTCAAAATCATTCGCATTAACTTACGTCCATAAAGACCCAAAATTTCCATTTCGTCTACCATTCTTTCTCACTTACCACATAGTTTCAAGAATATACCACTTCAAAAAGTTCTTAATCCCCTTTCAAAGCGAACCTGGAGAAGGAAAAGGGAATTGACCAAGGCTAGCCAGGGGAAACGGGCCTTCCAATGAAACAGCCACCGAGATTTGACAAAGCTCATATAATTTTTTGGCGCCAGACGTGAACAAGTAAATAAAAACATAAAATAATAATACAAGCTTTGTGAATCCTCGGGCACTAGTGCGTATAAACAGCTTTGTCTTGGCAAAGGTGGTTAATGCTCGTTACACGAGAGATACATCCAATCCAATTCAAACTTACGCACCTCATTAGTAGATGGGTTTCGGATTGCGATATAGGTAAAACAAAGATCGGTAATTAAATTAAAACATACGGCATAACGGGTAACGGTAGCGTTTTACGTTCCTAAACACAAATATTAGTGGCGGCTACGGTTCCAAACTTGAAACTGGTTCAATTTTTTTTATTGATGATTTCGTACTCGTAACAGCAGCGCTCGAAACAAGCCCCCTTCAATGTAATTGAACCAAAATCTCTCGAAAAATAACCCTCCCTCATTTTTTCTCCGTGGTTATTTAAGGCCTACCAAATGGCGGGTCATCACCTAAAACGATCATGGTTCATTTGATACTTAAATCACGCCGTACGAATCAAAGGAGAGTTAGGTTGATAAACCATCCCCCATCTATTCCTCAAATATCTAGTTTTTGAGATTTCTATGCTACCTTCGCCTTGTAATCCAATAGTACTAATTAAAAAGATGAAATACGATACAAATTCCAGAGTTAGTGTCTTTACCGCTTTCCTAGAGTGATTAAGAAACAAATTCTCTATATTCTGCTAAAATATCGAAAAAACATACATCCAAATCTAAATATTGCTACAAGCCTTTTCATCAAATTTTTGATTTATTTTTAACGATCATTTTTACAGTAATAAAAAGCGTAACATAAGGATATAGTATTTACAGAAAAGACATTAATCCTCAAGCCCGCGCTCACGGAGGAACTGCAATTTTCATTAAAGAGTCGTACCCACACAAAACAGTTAATCTTGTAACAGAACTTCAAGCGATTGCTGTAACTGTATTCCAGCCATTAAAATTCACAGTATGCAACATTTACCTACCAGACCGCTCGTGGATGTTAAATGATCTCACCGCGTTAATACGACAGCTACCACTACCTTTTCTGTTAGTTGGTGATTTTAATGCTCATAACTGTCTCTGGGGTTCCTCCTCAACCGACTTGGGGGGAAAGCTGATAGAGGATTTAATCCAGCAGTTTAATTTAGTTGTCCTGAATACCGGCGAAGGAACATATCTTAATTCTCGATCCCATTCCTTTTCTGTTTTGGATATTTCAATAAGTTCCCCAACTCTTGCCCCGAATCTTCAATGGAGGTGCCTCCAAGACGAAATAGTATCTGACCACGCTCCAATAGAAATTTTACTACCCAGTGATATACAACCTCTCGATCGCCCCCCAAAGTGGGTTCTAAAACATGCAAAATGGGACAAGTTCCTCCTAAATCTCTTACCTTTTGATGACACCATGAATAGCGTGGATGAAATTCAAAACGATATAACAACAAAGATCATCAGTGCTGCTAACTCAAGTATACACATAATATATACAATACCCCGAAAAAGAATAGTTCCGTGGTGGAATGAAAAAATTAAAAGTGCTATACGAGAGAAAAAACAAGCTTTTAACAAATTTAAAAAATGTCCAACTATGTGTAATATGATACAATTTAAACGAATGAGAGCTATAGCTAAACAGTTGATACTTACAAGCAAAAGAGAATCTTGGAAGAACTATGTTAGTGGTATTCAGAGGACAACCCCTAGCCAGGAGATCTGGAAAAAAGTGAGGTGTATAAATGGATCATCCCAAAGAACCCATATATCGGGGTTAATGGTACAGAATCGATTGCTGAATGACCCCCTCGGAATGGCAGAAGTCCTGGCGGATCTATTTGAAAGCAGTAGTACCATCCAATTACAAAACAGAATTGATGATGAGGAAATCGCGCTATCCTTTGAGTGTATAGAGAGGTATGAGTACAATGTACCATTTACAATCACCGAATTTGAAGAAGCCCTTGGAAGAACCCGTAATACTGCACCGGGACGTGATGGTATACTGTATGAATTTATAAAGCATGTACCAAACTGTGGAAAAGACCACATCCTTAGATTGTTTAACAAAATTTGGGAAACGGGTCATTACCCTATTCAATGGCAAACTTCGATTGTTGTACCATGCCTTAAACCAGGAAAGAATCATACAGATCCAAACAGTTATAGGCCTATATCACTTATATCATGCTTAAGTAAATTGTTAGAAAAGATGGTAAATTTGCGACTAACATGGTTGTTAGAGAGATACGAATTTATATCAAATTTCCAAGTAGGATCTAGAAGAACACGATCTACAACTGACGCACTTGTACAATTGGAAACAGCAATATTAAATAGTTTTGCTAAAAGAGAACACCTATATGCAATATTTTTCGATATTCAAAAAGCTTTTGACGATACATGGAGATACGGAATACTAAAAAAGTTGCATTCGTTACAAATTCGAGGAAACTTACCAATATTTATACAAAGTTTTTTAAATGATAGGAAATTCGCAGTACGTATCGGTAATACTTATTCCTCCGAACGGGTGCAACTCACCGGAGTGCCTCAAGGTTCTGCACTGAGTGTAACGTTGTTTTCAATCGCAATTGATGATTTATTGACTTCTATTAGTCCAACTGTTGGGAAAAGTTTATATGTAGACGATCTCCTGATCTACTCATCAGGCGCCATAAATTCAAACATTAATGATATCCTGCAGAATGAAATAGATAAAATATCGAATAATGCGAAAAAGATTGGTTTTCGCTTCTCTCCCACGAAAACCCATGTAGTTCATTTTTGCCGATTGAGAAGTTTCCATGAACATCTAAAATTCACATTAGATGGACATACGATAGAAGTTAAGGATAACATCAAATTTCTTGGAGTTATATTTGACTCTAAGTTATATTGGAAAGGGCAAATTGAGAATTTATCTGTTAAATGTAAAAAAGCACTTAATATTCTTCGCTGTGTTAGCCATTTGTCGTGGGGTGCGGATAGAGAAGTTTTACTAAGATTACATAAAGCCCTGATACTTTCAAAGATTGATTATTCCAGTGTTATTATATCGGGAACCAGAGCAACTAGAATTCAAAAGGTTAATCGTATTCATTGCGAAGGTCTACGGCTATGTACTGGTGCTTTTCGCACTAGCCGCCTAGAAGATGTATGTTGCGAATCGGGAATTCCACCTATGAAAATATTATTTGACATTAACTTGCTTAAATATGGTATAAGAATAAATGCTTTGCGAAGTCATCCTAACTATAACGTACTTTTTAATAATGATACATATCCAATCTATGACAGTCGAAGTACTATAATGCGCCCAACTGGCATACGACTTCTAGAAAGGTCCAGGAATCTAAATTTGCTTGAATTACCAATAGAAACATATCAAAATAAAGTGTCCGAAATTCCACCTTGGGTAATTAGTAAACCGCAAGTAAATTATAAGTGGTTTGACACAAAAAAGGACACTAATAAACAATATCTTAAACAGGAATTTCTATCAGTATTAGATCAATACCGTGATTATATTATAATATACACAGATGGTTCGAAGACGGAAGAGGGAGTGGGAAGTGCATTTAGTGTTACAGACAAGACATATAATTGGTCACTTCCAAAATATACAAGTGTGTATACAGCAGAACTGTATGCGATTATGCAAGCGTTATACTATTCTACCATGTCGACAGAAAAAAGATTTTTGATTTGTTCAGACTCCCTTAGTTCCTTGAAAAGCATAACGAATACATTTAGCAAAGATGCTCTTGTGAGAACGATGTTATCCTGCCTAGATTCTTTACAAAGACGCCGTAAAATTGTCAAATTTTTGTGGTGTCCTAGCCATTGTGGAATAAGAGGTAATGAATTGGCAGATAGCGCAGCTAGAGAAGCAACTCTCTCCAAAGAAATAGACTGGCCAAGGGTGCGTGCAGATGATGTTAAAATGGAGGTATTATCAAGAATTAGACAATTCTGGATGACACAATGGTTCGCAGATGAATCATTTTTCAGTCAAATCAAAGTGGGTGTAAATACGTGGAAAATACCTCGTGAACTATCACGCCGTGAACAAGTTGCTCTCACGAGATTACGACTAGGACATAGTAATATAACATCAAGTCATTTACTTTTAGGAGCCCCTTCTCCGTTGTGCGTGGAATGTAATGAGCCACTAAATGTAACTCATATGTTACTTACATGTGGAATAAATGAAAACTTAAGAATAAAGCATAAGATCTCAAAGAATTTAAAGGAATGTTTAGGAAATGATGAAGATAATATTCGAAAATTGATTGCATTCATTAAGGAAACTAAAATTGTCGTAAAAGTATAAACACTAACGGCTAATAACCATGCAGTTGATGCCGTAGAACTGTAGTAAAAAAAAAAAAAAAAAAAAAAAAAAAAAAAAAAAAAAAAAAAAAAAAAAAAATAACATAATACTAAACGTTGAAGACTGGATTTCTACAAAAATCATTTTACTGCTTATTATATAGAAAAAGAAAGAGAAGAAAAAACTGATTTAGCGTCACTTTAAAATTAAAGCGAACTATTAATACTCGTACTTCGTCATAAGTAGTCAGAAGGTGACTGAAAAAATTAAAATCCTGTACATTTCCAATAGAATCGCAAGTGCACTGAAGTGAAAAATAATTGATGTTTGGCACTTGCACCGGCGGAATAAGGAAATAGACGAGAGACGCCATTGTATAAATCGCTTAACATCTACTCACGAGAGACATTTCGTGTTCGAATCTGGCAAGACAATGTACGAATTAAATTGCTAAAGTTTATGTGAAGCACTTACTCTCAATGGGACAAAAAACATGCTATTCAGTGTAGAATGAGAATGACTTCTTATCAAGTAAGCTTGGTCGATCAACTTACCTCACTGTGGAAAGAAACTGAACCTTTTCCGATAGTTATATAGAGAGGAATTTGATTACCCCGTAAACTCTTCGCACTAGCTACATGCGCGTTTCTAGAATTAATGCAATCTATTCCGAAGTTTACTGATGTACCAACGGAAAATATCAATCAGATTGAGACGGAAAATATACCTAAGGAGTGTAGATTTCGGTACGCAACCTCACACAAACACTTCTGGGTTTACTATTTAATGCCGACTTGTTAATTTATCTTCTACAAAAATTACGTAATTTATAACGTTGGCGTGCTTTTTGTGTTACTGCTGAAGTGGAGAAGAGTTCGATGCGTCAGCCATTTACATAAGCAAACGAGACAACTAATTAAGCTTGCTAAGAGGAGAGCAATAAATTGAAATAAAAGCCAGTGAAGACCTAGGAGCAACTGTTTTAGAAAGTTGATGGGATTGCTTTGAAACATAACCTCTCTAAGTAAATTTAATACGCTACTTAAAATTGTAACTAGTCAAACACCCAAAAAGATAAATTTACTATTCGGTTAAACGCCAAAAGCAAAAATTATAACTGTCTTAAATTAATTACGTCTTTCCCAGACCACTAAAAAATACGGGACTGGTGTCAACATTAAAGTTAATTAAGAGCGCTTCTTTTGAGACAACGCCCTGCTCAATCGGACGGGATTTTGCAACTCATTTAACTGTCAATCTCTAATTATACTTAATTGAGCGCATCCCAACTGCCAACACCTTTTTAATCGGAGTTTAAGTGCCATTTCCTAGGTAAAGAATTAAAGATAGCAAGCTGCTTATCTGTACTGTACGGTCTTCGATTCGTCAAAGTAGCTTTTGCATCCTGGTTCACACATGGAATTTAAAATCGATTGTTAGTTTCCTCATGAAAGTGACATCTTAAAGTATTAGATTAGCGTCACTTTTCCCATGCCAAGCGCTGTCGGATACTACAAAACTAATTTATTATTAGTATGGTTTTCGTAACAAAGTGCTTCCACGTCTAGTTCATATACCGGGTGTTTCTCGAGACAGGTCGCTTCAAGGAGGAAATAACTTCGTCAGAACGGTATAATCGTACTTGATTTTAAATCTTGTGAAGAATTTATTAAAGGGTCTGAAGATATTAAAAGCTTGTGAAAATTGTGGAAATCGTAAGAGCTACAAGTTTTGAATCTTCTAATCGTACTGAATGTTTTAAACGTTTCAACATAAGGCTTTGGGACGCCATATCGGGAGATATTAAATGTCCGAAGGTCTTTAAATGTTTCTAATGTTTTGAATATATAATGATTTTCGTATGTTATTTTCTTCGACTTGTAAGTGGGCGGCATTTCCTCCCAGCTTGCTCTACCAAATTAATCTAATATATATCTTAAAAATTCATCCCCGAACACTGGTTCAAACTAGAGATTTCCAGTACCGCAGTGGAGCATCCACTCCACTACGCCAGCACAGCTGAAGATTGAAAACGCCCCTAAGTTTTTAAAGATTCCAAAGATCTTAAGAAATTGGAAATTCAGAAGTGAGTCCCCAGGTAGTTTTTAATGTTTTAGAAAATCCTGAAGTATCTGAAAAGTTTTAAGGTTCTCAAATTCCCAAATAGCAAATATTCCGAAGAATTATGAATATTCTGGGAATTTTTAATATCCAAAAGTTTTAGTACTGATATGTACGATTACGAACGTGTCCAAGATTACGAAACTCTGTAGGATTCTAACGATCCGGTTCTGCACATTGTAAAGCATTGAAGTATGGGCAGGCTCTAGCATATTCTGAAGATACTAAAGTTTTAGAATGCATTCAGGTGTTTGCTAAGATTTTAACGATGATAAAGATGAGACATTATGAAGAATTGAAAGTTTTGAAGGCTTTAGAGATAAACCTGTAAAGATTTTGTAAATTCCGGAGGTTTGAAAAAAATTCTGAAGTTTCTTAAGAATTTAGGGGTTCTAGGATTTATGTTTGAAGGGTTTCATAGTTCTAAAGGTACTTTATTATTTCCAATATTTAGAAAATCCATGGGTCCTAAGTATTTTGTACGTTCTGAAGCTTGCAAAAATTCTACAACTGCAAAATGTTAAGGAAGAACATAAAATTAGAGAATTATCAAGATTACACGCCAAAGCAAATGTGATCAGATTGATCCCAACAGTTTTTTTCGATTATAAAAACGAGATGGGGGTACTGTAACAGTATCTTTTTAAAAGGTTTGAATTTTTTTCAAATTTTTGTTAGGTGTTAAATACTAGGAAGCGCACATGGCAGTTTTTATGGAGAATGGTTTTCATTTTAATGCAGTAATTATGCAAAAAACTACTGGCCCAAATAAAGATATTACGTCTAGGATGTTTGACACTCCACTTTCCAGTAGTCTTTCCTTGGGAGACCCTGTAAATATGTTCATTTTTTGTCGAAAATTACGAATGGTTTGCACATTAGTTTTAAGAATTAGCTCCTTTTTAAAAGACGTATGCTGTAAACGAACTTGTATCATTTCCAAAAATTCCGTTTTCCTACAATCACAATTCGCTGGTCAGTTAACGTCCAATGCTGTTGTACCTCATATACAAAGATTAAAGGTTCGTAAACAGCTTCAAACAAATTGGAGATGATAATCGATAACAGTCTGTTGACAATTCGTTTATGTCTTAACAAAACAAAATTGAAAATCATTACATAAAACAACAGAACACAACACATACCCAACGTAATTGGAGAGTTATTATTTAGTGATTTGGAATGAACAAGACATTGTACTAATTTCATCCATCAAGTGGTAATTTCAAACTGAAAGTGGACGAAATGTGTTGGATAAAAATTTAAATTCTAAAGTCTCGTTTGGAGGTCTATCGACCTTTCAATTCAACCCACATTTTGAGGTTTAGAACAACTAGGATTAACTTAAATTACAACACAACCTTCTCAACGGTAAATGAAGAGCGCATCCCACAACTCATTCGTCCCTTCCCAACTGGGAACGACAAGAAATTGTTACTTTATCGGTATCTTCCGACACAGCTGCTCTGGATTTCCTTCGCTAAATGAAAAATTCTTCGCGATAGCTTCTCGTTGCAATTTAAATTACATCCGGTGAATAATTAAGAGCCCTCATTCAGAGTCGATAACCAATTTGCCTTCATTACTATTGGAAATATAATCAATTAGATTTAGGTGAAATGTAGACCATCTGAATCAGAAATAAGTTAGTAAGTGCAGTGAAAAAGAAATAATAAATTCTAATTTGATACTCCTGTAACATGACACCTTCAAACCATACAATGGTACAAACTCCCTAAAATCATTCAAGAATTAGCTAAGCTGAGTATAATATTAAAATTGAGTGGGTTTAAATTTTCCACAATTCGGTTTTATGTGATACCGAAGTCGAGTTACGTGGAGGGTTTTGTTTTGTAGCAAACTTAATCGAAAATTACAGTGCACCTCATTATTCATTTAAGTTCGGAGGGATAACAATTCGTCATATTCCACAGATACACTAATTACTGTACCTAGCTTTCTGATTAGAGGGATGAGGTTGTACAAACTCGAATCGATGCTAATGCCAGCGTTCGGAGAGATAACATTGGCTTGCTCGAACTTTGCCAAAGATAGCGTGAAAATTATTGTTTCAGTACTAAAATTTACCACAATGTCACTAGGTTTATAAGCATACCCAGTTTTAAGTGTGTATAAAAGCTTATTTATTATGATAATATAAGAATAAATGACATTAACATAAGGTAGAAATAATTAACAATTGTGAAATGCAGGCAAGCAATCTTGCCATAGGTATACTACATAAACATCAAATTTCAATTGCATACGCAATGCAATGTATGACAACTAGTGCAATAAGAAATAAGGAAGCTCTAAAAGTTCAAAAACAGTGACTGACAGCCGTAAATAAAGCCAGAATAAAATAAAAAATAAAAAAATATTCAAGTGAGGCATTCGGCATCTGGAAAGTTTCCATTCGACATTTCCGATGATAATTCAGGAGATTGTAAATTTTATCTTTACAATTTGTATCGCTCGTTTTATTTGTAATTGTAAAAGTTCATTATTATTTTTATTATTAGGAAACTTGATTAAAGGTGGGGGTTTAATCAAATATTAGGAATATTTTTTTTTTAATTTAGTGATTTATTTGGCGCTTCAATTGCTATGATTATTGGCGCCTAATATGTTGAGACAATTCTTTAAATGTTGTTATACATGTTAATATTATTCATATAACCTATAATTCTTTGTGAGTTGATTGGTTGAAGTTCAATGGAGTCCGGAATGTCAAATAGTTCTTTTGCGTTTTTATAGGATGGGCACTGGAATATGTGCTTTACGGTGAGTTGGTTTCCACATTTGTCACATGTCGGCTGGTTTTCTTGTTTTATTAGGTGTGAATGGGTTATTGCGGTATGTCCTATTCGTATTCTTCTCATTACTGAAGCTTCTCGTCTAGTTAGGTGGTCGAAGGTGGTTAATCTGATTGTTGGCTCTGTTGTCCTTAGTGTCGTAGTTTGGAGACTCCAATGTCTTTCCCATTTGTCTTTTAATTCGCTATTATAGACTGACTTTAGGTCTTCTGCCAGGAGGAATGGTTTGTCTATTTCTATTTTCTTGGCTGCTGCTTGCGCTGCTGAGTTGGCTGCTTCGTTGCCCTTTATATTGCAGCGAGATGGAATCCACATTATAGTAAAGTTGCATTTTTGTTTGTGTTTAGTTATAGTGTCTTGTATCTTCTGTGTTATTGGATTTCGGGGAAATAGTTGGTCAATTTCTTGTATATAGCATATAATGAGTCGGTACATATTGTTGCTTCAGTGATGGTAGTAAGTTTTAGTAGCTAATTGGACGGCTTTATATATAGCGTAGAGCTCTGCTGTGAATACACTAGCATCTCGATTTAGGCTGAAAACATTTTTTCCATTTCTGTTTACCACTGCGCATCCGACTCCATTGGAGCATTTTGAGGCATCTGTGTATAGTATTGTTTTATACCCCTGTTTATTCATTTCCTCTAGGAATAAGTGATGTTTAGTTGCAGGGTCTTTTTTTGAATGGATCTGAAGCGAGGAGTTGAAGTTTGGGAACGTGCCTAACCACGGAGGGGTTTTTGATACTTGAGAAGGTGTAGTGTTACGGATTATTTGAGCAGGTGGAGGTAGGATATTGCGGATTTTGATATTTATGGGAGTTAGATGGCTTGAGCTTTCATTGGATTCTTCATATAGGATTTTGTATGCTGGATTTTTTATTTTATTTTATTTTATTTTTTATTTTTTTATTTTATTTTATTATCCCTCTCTTGTTTTGGGCCCTCAACAGGCATGCGCCCAATTACAGAGTGACCCGCATAATGCTATTTAGAGCTGCCTCTGCAGAAGGTCTTAAGATGGTCTATACTACTCCGGTATTTACCTTACGAATTAGGAAAACTGCAGGAAAACCTAATTCGGAGTAGCCGGTAGAATGCTCGGAACTGGTCTAAGGTAATTTCCATCTCCGCCACAGATGAAAAATTCACCTCAACCCAGGTTCGAACACCCGACCTCCGGATTTATAACCCAATGCTCTTACCACTGAGCCATAAATCCGATCCGGATGATGAGGCAAGGAGGACATTTTTGCGGTATAAGAGAGAATAGTTTGCTCTCTCCTTAGCCACAGTGGCAATACTCCGGCCTCCCGATGTATGCTTTCAACCGGGCTAGTTCGGTATGCTCCTGTTGCGAGTCTCAGCTCACCTTAGGGTAGAAGTTGCTGCTGAGGAATACATTATTGCATCATAGGCGAGTTTGCTTCTAATTAGTGTTATATATATGGTTTTGAGTATTTTTTCTTGAGCTCCCCACTTGTGATGTGCTAGAACTTTTATTATATTCAGGCGTTTAATGCATTATGTCTTAAGGTTTTTGATGTGGTCTTTCCAGTTCAGTTTAGTATCAAATGTGAGACCCAAGAATTTATGTTTTTTGAGCATTGTTAGAGGAGAGTTGTCTAGTGTGAGGGGTGGGAGATTTGCTTGGTTCGGTTTTCTGGAGAATTTCATAACAACAGATTTACTGGATGAGAATTGGAAACCATTTTCTCTTGCCCAGTTGGAGGCTGCATTAATTGCGAGTTGTATTTTCTCATTTAAGGCGTGGGGATTTTGGCCTCTTACATATATTAATAGGTCGTCTGCGAATAGCGTTGACTTTACCGGGAGATTCAATGTAGCTGTTATATCATTTATGGCTATTATGAAGAGTATCGGACTGATGACTGATCCTTGTGGTAAACCATTATTTTGCTGAAAACTTTTGGAAACGGTGTTATTGGTTTTTACTTGAAACGATCTGTTAGACATGAAATTGTTTATAAATCGTAGGATGTTACCCCTCAAGTTCCACTTGTATAGTCAATTATTTTATATTTCCAGACCTTGTCAAATGCTTTTTTGATGTCAAAGAAGACAGCTATGGTGTCCTGTTTATTGTTAAAGCCATTTATAATTTCTGTCTCTAAGGCCAGTAGGTTATCTATTGTTGAGCGGTTTTGGCGGAATCCGTTTTGTGACTCATTTAGATAGTTTTTGTTTTCTAGGTACCAGAGTAATCTTTTGCTTATGATTTTTTCTAAAAGTTTGCACATTGCGCAGGTTAGTGATATTGGACGGTATGATAATGCATCTGTTTTGCATTTCCCAGGTTTTAGTATTGGATGGATGATGGCTGTTTGCCAGAGATTTGGAAATACATTCCGTTGCCATATGTAGTTGAAGATGAGCAGAAGGCGTTCTACTGCCTCGGATGGTAGATTTCTAAGGAATATAAATGGTATATTATCGGGGCCGGGTGCTGAACTTTTTGGGAGTTTTAGGGCTGTTGTTAATTCTTTCAAAGTTAATTTTTGGTTTATTTGTGGGTACATATCTTCTACTTGATATATTATTTGTTCGATACGTTGGTTGTTTTGTGTGTTTGCCGCAGGGCGAGTTTCATCATTAAAATGAGAACAGTAAGTGTTCAACAATTTGAGGATTTGTTGTTATGGTATTCCCCTTTTTATTTTTTAGTACAGTAATTTTGAAATTTTCTCCCTTTCCTTGTATTCTTTTGATCTTATCCCACACTTCCGATGTTCGTGTATGAGTTGTTAGAGTTGAAACGTATTTTGTCCAGCTTTCGGTTTTGCTCTTTTTGATGATCACTCTCGCTTTTGCTTTCAGTTTTTTATAGTTTATGAAATTTTCGATTGTTCTGTGCTTTTTGTATTTATTAAATGCCGTTTTGCTTGTTTTTACTGCTATTTTGCAGTTTTCGTTCCACCATGGAACTGAGGGGTGTTTGTCAGTAAGCTTTATTTTTTTGATGTTTTTATTAGCAGATTTTATTATGATTTCGTTAAACGACTTGGGCGATTGGTCTATATCTGAAGTGATATGGGAACCGGTATGTTAAATATCATCAAATTTTGAGAGTTAGAAATTTTGAAATATCACTTCCGTTATACAAAGACGTGTTAGCCTTAAAAATGAGGGTATTCAGTCCATGGGCTACCAGATGATTAGTTTCTTTTCTTGCTGCGTGACGTTTTAAACAAAGGTGACGTTGGATGTAATATCACATTTAAACCAGTACATCTACAATTTTCAATTTTAATCGTGCAAATAATCGACTTGTAGACTGCCTTACTCTAGGCCTTACTGTTTTAGCGATAATATAATTTTATGCGGTTACGATCATATAACTTATAGATTTTTTTTGTTTCAGTAAAAAAGGCTCGCTATGTTGGAGCTCAAGGTAAGTCTAGCTAATTACATTTTTTTCTCCGATTGTGCCTTTGACCAAATGAATTTCTGCGCATTATTGTTTGTTTTTATAAAAACATTTCTTTTGCAATCCGACCATGACATTGCTCAAGAAAATAATAATAATAAGTAATAATAAGTCCAACTTAATACTGAGACACTTACATTCTCGCATCCACATGGCAATAATACCATGGTTTTGTGCTCGTTTTGTGTGAGTTGTGCGTGAACCCACCAATAAAATGGAAACCACAACGCTGGGTACAGATTTCCCTGTATATAAACAAGAAGTGGCCATACAGGAAATTAAAGCGAGGGAAAACTACAAAATCGATACAGAGGTAGTGATCATTCAACTGCCTAGGCCGTTTTTGTTGCTGGGAGCTTTCAATAGCCATCACACTATGTAATCGAGATGCCTGTGGATTATGGAAACAGGGCACCAGTCGTGTGATGCGTATTAGCTTCCATATGTTCCACCACAATAGAATAAGCGAACAAGCGAATTACAAAGCGAACACTTTACCACTTATACGAATTTACACAGGAAATATGCAGATGGGGTAAACGGTATTAAATGGGATTTAAAGCTGAATTTTAAAAAAAGTTACAACTTTATTCATTTTAAATTCCTATGCATAACTCTTTCACCTCTGACATCCACTTTTATTCTTGTAAGTGGTCTACTGCATGTTGTGACAATGTCCAAATGGACTGCGAGTGTTTAAAAAGTTATGAAAAGGTTATATAAATGATACAAAAATACAATACCTCTTATATTTCTGTAAAAGTAAAATTGATCGCGAGCATGAGCGTCAGGATGCTTTATTTCATCTTGTATGGGAAACGCTTTCACTGATACTATAAGGGCCACGTTATTGCTTCGTCATGTTGCTTCACTAAACAAATAATCAATTTCAATGTTTGTTTTAATTAAATGTAGGCATTCTACTTGTTTACAATATTATAAAAAATTGTTTTGGAATACCTGGAAGGTATTCGGGAAAGCTTGTAAGTTCAATACGTTGTAAACACGAGCGTTTGTTAAAATAACTTTAAATTTGAGCTCCAAGAAAATTATCAACCTCTGGATCGATTTTCTGAAACGGAAAGGCAATATTGCCACCCTTCAAATATAACTGAGCAATGTAGCTAAAGAAAGGCGATCAAGTAAAAAGCGCTTACGTTAATTTAAATATTCGTGTAAATGGAAATATACGGGAACTTTATTGGATCATTTCGTCATATTCGGGAATTTAGATTGGCCTTTTCATTTCGCAGACTATGGACGTAATACACTGAGAGGAATGTAAGGGATCTCTTTTATCATCGGGGTACATATTTGTTGTGAAGTTTAATGTCTTTATACGTGCAGAGAAACAGCAATACAGTATAAATATGTCGCGTTGAATATTAGAATATAACTGCTGCCCCTATAGTTCAAGGGTGAGCGGAAAATGCTCTGAATTTTAAGTTTTATTGATCCGAGAAAGAGATGCAATAATTACATTCAACGATCTTTATATTCATGAGTGAGTAGTATCGGTATGTATGGGAAGTACGTTTAAAATGGAGCACATTATTATTAAAAGTAGTCTGTTTTAGGAGCCTCTTGACCGACCTTTCTTAATAGTTGACGACAGGGTTGACGAATTGATTTTTTACACATTCACTTTACCCGACAACAAATTTGAGTTGATTGCATAATTTTTAAACCCTAATTCTGGTTCAACATTTTAGCTACTACTATCACTATGATGAAATTTCCAACGGATTTGATCACTTATCATACAAGACTGTCATTGATACACATTATTTCGATAAACGCAGTTTATTGTCTACATAAGCGTGAGAGTATTGCAGCGAATATTCCAGAAATACCGATAGATATGAAAGTTTAGTCATCGGCGATAAAGAACGAAGGCGGATGTGACGTAATCTTTCCTAGAAATATGACGTGATTGTTCGAAAACATTCTGAAACGCCCTTGAGCACTTGAGAACATTGTAGAAAGAATGTTGTTTGCTATATAAGCAAATCGAATTGTGTTTCCAGTTCAGTTCCAACATCGACGCGCTGGAGTTATAAGTAGATAATGAGTGATAAAAAATAATTACTGTTATAATTTAACCCATTTTAAGACTGTTATAAACGTATTGTTAATTATTTGTAACGCCGTAATTAAATTTACGTTACAATTTTTTATGGAAAATGGGATAGTGATCCACCGCTACTGAATTTCGTTTATATCAGCCGCCTTAATTTGGACATAAAGTTAACTTTAGGTAAAGGAGACTTTTGCGTGATTATGAAACTGGCCCTTAGTGCCCTAAATTTGGTTGATTTTCCTTGATTCCAACATAATCAAAATCACTATGGGCGACAATTTTATTAAGACGTAAAAGTTATGCCCAGAAGAAAAACAATTCACGTTTATAAGAAGTGAATTTTTAATTTCAATTTAGTCTAACTAGAGCCACTTTCTTCAAAAGTACTTCGATGTTCTAATCAACTAACTCTTTCTTCTCGAGTGCCCCTCAGTTCCTCCTCTCAAATTCCCCTGTAGGCTTCCCCCTTCAAATTTTCTAATTTCTTTGATTTCCCACAAACCTCCCTTAACTATGAAGACCCTCTTGAACTTTCCGGAAATTAGTTTTACTCACGTCTCAACTTCTCCTGATGCCAAATTCAAGTCAAAATCAACTTTCCCCTCAAGCTCCTATTAAATTCCCCCGTCCAAGTCCCCTTAAATTTCATCTCGAGAAGTTTTTCCCCTCACATTCCCTGCCCGTTGCAAGTTTCTGAATTTCTTTTTAAATCTCTTTCAAGTATCTCTTAAGTATCAAATTCTTTTAGGTTATTCTCAAGTTCTTATGCTCCCATTGAATTTGTCCCTGAAAGTTCCCCCGGTTCTCAAATTCCCTTGATGTTCCCCTCAAGCACTGCTTAAATTCTCCTTCAACGTCGGTTCTCTTCTCAATTATAGGTTCTCAAATTCCCCTTTGTCCCTCGGCTCATTGCATCAAGTGCTTCTGAAGCTAGGTTCCTGTTTAATTCTTCTAACGTTGTCCATCATAGTTGGGATAATTTAAATCAGCCCAAAAACGATCTCGAGGATCGTTCGGAGTATCGGATTTTGCAATTTAAAAAACAAAATGTTAACTGAAAGTAGATGTGTAAGGATATAAGAAGAAAAGTCATATTCAAGTTATGTCAAAACACCCGATTTGAATAAAATAAAATTTAAATAACACGTTTTTTTTATTTTTTCAGAAAATCACTAAAATTGCTCTTATTTTCTAAGTTTTCCCTTCTATTTCCTTCAACTTTCAAGTTTCCCTCAAATTAAACGCCGTATAAGCTTTTTTTTTTATTTCATATCAAATCCTTCTGAAGCCTCCTTCATGTTCCCTAAAAGTGTCTAAATTGCTATAAGCCACTATCAAGGCCTTAAAGTTGTTCTTTGTTACCTTCAAATTCCCCTCACGTTTTGTTAACCTCTTCTGCAGTTGCTTACAAATTTTCAGGTTTTTCTCTACTTCTTAGCAGATTCTCCTCAAATTCCCATAATAATTCCCTAAATTTTTTAGGTAACTATTTTTCCAGTCGGCGAGCAATGATAAGATTATTCGACCAGTGGTTCGATGTAGCAAACAAAGGAATCGTAGCGGGAATGGTGTACCTTTCGGCTTCTTTCTTTACATTTGCACCTCGGATCCCTAAAAACTGTTGCAACCACACGTACGAAGAAACTGAGAGATCAGAAATTTTCGATTAACATTTCGATTAACCCAAGGAGATTATTGAAAGAACTGGAACTGGCAATAAGTATTCAAAGAATCATAAGAATACAGAGAGACGGAAGCATCTAAGGAATATGAAGAGCCTGATGGATCTAAAGAATTTGTGGAATTCGGGCAATCGGAAGGACTCGCAGAATCTTAATATGTTGAACAGGTTTATAGATCCGAAAAATAGAGCTTTCTAAGGACATCAAATTAAAAAGGTGGCGTATCTGGGAGCTATAAATTTTCGGGTAAATCAAAAGTAGAGATTTCATTCTCTACATTTACTAGCATTAAATTGTTGAAGAACGAAACTGAATTTTGTTTGTTTTTTCAATTAGATCAAGTTAGTTTAGTGAGAACTGGGATACCTGGAAGTTTGCTGTGCAGGGATACTACCAGATGTGCCTGTGGAATGCTGTTAAAAGCCATGGGACAATTTTTTTCTGGAAATTGGTTAAATTGTCCAATAGGTATTCTTGTACCATTAGGGCGTTTGCACGGGTACACCGTCCTGTTAAAACCAGCAGTTCCCAACTTTTGATTTCTTGGTTTGCCGTACATCGTTGTATCATGCAATTAAAAAAATGTTATATTATCGTCGTATCTTCTATAGTGTCCGAGATCCCCATGATATATAATCGCTCCTGGTACATATCCGGCATCTGCTCTAAAGGCAAATCGTAATACTGACTTAAAACTTCTCAATTTGAGAGACTCTGTGGCTTCAATCTACTTTCGATAATTCCAAAGAATATATTACACAACTTTGAGTAACACCTGAAGTAAATCTTTGGCATGAATAGGAAAATCTGACTTGAAGACTATCTAGATCACCCAAAGGATTCGAATAAACACACAACTAATTGATTGAAAATGACCAACATTTATTCCGAAACACATGAAACAATATCCGTACAAGAAAGAAAAGCTTACAACACTTGTTTGAACATAATACCCCGCGCACAGGCACTCGATAATTAAAAATATTGAATTGAAACGCCACTTCCGCTATAAAATAATCTTCTTTATTAGGAACTTAAAAAAAACGCCAATCACAATTAGACTTAATAAGGCCAGCTTCGAAGCGCCAAACGTTACCACTTACGCCGAAATAATGCGCAATTCTTCAAAACACTCTTAACAGCGATAAAAACACGTTCGTAATTAAATTTCGTCCGATAACAACTCCTTATCGCAGCGGTCA